TGTAGGGGCCTTGATCGTTAGAATAGGGTTTTGGGCCCCTCTTATATTATTATTATTCTTCTTCTTATTATTATTATTCTTATTCTTATTCTTATTCTTATTCTTTTTCTTTTTCTTTTTCTTATTCTTATTCTTATTATTATTCTTATTCTTATTCTTATTCTTATTCTTATTCTTCTTCTTATTATTATTATTATTCTTGTTCTTATTCTTATAATTATTATTATTCTTATTATTATTCTTCTTATCATTATTATTATTACTATTATTATTATTACTACTACTACTACTACTACTATAATAAGGAACCCTAAGGTGTCATAGTTCTGTTCTGTTCTGTTCTGCGGACGGTAAAGCCCTATTCGGGCGTGTCCCAAAAATGCAATTAAATTCTAGGTGAGACAAAACAGGGGTCCTCAACCGGCCTTCGTAGCCAGAAGTCCACAGTCTCCGCTCGTGGACCTTCTGGTGTCCGGCGGGTGCATGTGCCTTCGACCCAGTCTGCGACAGCAGCAGTTGGCCGGTATAATTTCGAGAGACGGGCAATGGTGATTTCGCTCTCTTCGAGCCCGGCCAGGGCTTCGTCTGCGGTCGGCTGTTGGGGACCTTGTGCGGCACATGCAGGAGTTGCAGCTGTAAAGAGCTGCCAGGCACCTTTGCGTATGCGCATCTTCCTGGCTTTGCTTTCCTGTTCTAGTTCCCTTACGTCAGCCACAGCGAGGGGAGGAACAAGATGAGCGCAGCGCCGAAGACAGGCGTGATTTTGGCGAAGGTGATTCTGCACGCGCTCAGTTGTGTGATAAAAACCTAAGCACGCAATGCACCATGGGCCGTATGCAAAGTGTCGAGCAGGACTGAGCGCTCCGTGTCGCCTAGCTTCGTGGACGGCCACATGCTTGTGTAGCCGAAATGTCTGGCCGCACCAACGGCACTGGAAGGGCAACTCGACTGTGTCTGCAACTTCGATGCCATCGTGTTCGGAGGCTTCCCCTGCAGTACCAACGGCACGATTGGCCCAAGCCTGAAGATCAGCATGGAAGCTCTTAATGGCATCCTTGATTTGTCGACGCCACCATCGGGGCTCTTGTTGCAGGGCTTCAAACAGGCTGAGGACAGGGTTTGAAGCGCTGAGAACAGCACCTGCGGAGGTTGAATACACAGCGACAGCCTTCAAGTCTAAAAGAAGCTGCTGGATCCAGGATGTCTGGGCATTCTCCCTCCAATGCACATGAAGTAAGTGCAAGAGGGTATTGGGCCCGAATCGAAGGAGCCTTTCGACGAATGCGGCCCTGGCCTGCGCTAGGGCGAGGAGCGGGGGCGCCGCACCAGAGTGTCGCAAGACTTCATAGCAGTGCGTGGGCTTCTCTCCATAGCGACGCTTGCAAAGCGTACGCCAAAAATTGACGTACTCTTTGCACCAGGCACGGCGATGCAACGCCGCGTGCAGGTCCACAGTGGCGCAGGCAAAGGTGAACTTGGAAATCACAAGCGAGCGCAAGAGTGTACACCGCAGGGTCAAAGGGACACCCTGGGAACCGAAAAGCCGCCGACGCAAAGGGCGAAGCGTGGCCCAAGCCTGAGCAGACCGGTAAGCAAGGTCCGTGGCGGGACTGTGGTTTGCTGTAAGAATTCCACCTAAATGACGGTAGGAGTCAACAATGGGCAGAAAGTGTGTGACGCCTTTGACCGAGTCATAGATGTCAAAGCCAGGGTTACCGTCTCCATCATGGCTGATGTCGTGGCTCTCACTGCGGGAGTACCGTGACGACAGGAGAACGGCAGATTTATCCGGCGCAAAGGTCAAGCACATGCCGACCGCGGAAGCTTTTTCCACGTGTAACCTGGCGGCCAGAACAATGTGGCGGGACAGGCTCTGCGAATCAGCACTGGCTTGCAGATGCACATAGTCGTCAGCCCAAGAGGCGTGGTTAACATGTGCGGGCGCTGTCCAACCAACCCATGGAGGCTTGAAGTGCGTCGGAGGAACGGGAGTGGAAAGGCCGGCTGCCTCGAGGGCAATGTTGACGCTATCAAGGTAGCCCGCGAAACTGAAACCAAACAGCAAATCCGCAAGTGGGTCACCTGGACGCGTTCCGCGCCTTGTGCCCGTGAGTACTTCGCTGGACTCCAGACGGAACCAGGTGCCCCGAAAAAGATCAGCGACTATAGTGGCTACATGTTCATCGACACCAGCTTCGCCTAGAAGCGCGATCCTAGCGAGGTGACCTTGAAGCTCGGATACAGCTGCAGGCGGAATGCCGATACGGTGGAGCAATTGAAGCAAGGGACCGTCTTGATCGGGCGACTGGACAAGAGTTTGTCGAAGCACATGGTAGTAAGCAGCCTTGATATCATAGAAGGTGACAGCGGCGGAAGTGGAATGCCGGCGGGTCCAACCTCGAAAGGCTTTGACAGCAAGGGCGACGGTGTCAACGCCAATGCCTTTAGCTGTGCCGGCCTGTAGGCCGGACTTGAAATGTTGCAGTCGTGGCTCCAACTTGCCGCGGATGACCTTGTGATGGATTTTTCCGACGACACTGGCCAGAAGTATCGATCGATACCCAGAGCACTCAAGGGCCTTGGAGGCTTTTTTGGCAAGCGCGATCAAGTTACCTCCCCGCCACTCAATGGGTTCTCGGGCAGAAAGCGCAGCTTTCAAAAACAGCGGGTATGCAAAGAGAGCAGTGGCTTGCGGCGCCGCCCTCAAAACCTCAGCAGTGACACCGTCCGGCCCAGAGGCTTTGCCAAATTTCAGGGATAAAATGGCTGTCTCGATCTCCCCAAGGGTGGGAAGAGCTATGACGCTGAAAGCCGTATAGCCCTGTTGGACCGGAATGTCCGGAGAGGAGAAGAAGGCAGAATATTCGGCTTCAGTAAGAACCTCCCCAGCCTCCTGTTCAGCAAAGAATGCCCGCCATCTCTCGTTGCGGGCCTCTGAGCTGGTGGCTAGTTCCCCGGTATCGAGACGGACAGCGGGAATAGGCCGGAGAACCGCACGTCGAGCAGACCTGGCTTGTGGAAAGGCCTTACGGACAGCCTCGTATAGCCGCTTGGGCTCGAGGACCTCTTTGAGAGAGAGGTTCTGCACAAGTCCGTTGAGGTATGCTGCTCTGTCGAGCTTAACTGCTCGCCTTATCTGCGGGGTGCGCTTGAGCAACAGGGAAACGGCGCGTGCTATGCTCACATCGATTTGCGCAAGCCATTGTGCAGCCAGGCTCAAGGCATGTGCGGTGAAGGTCGTGCCCCTACCATGATGAAGCATAGCTGCGAAGGAGATTAGGAGAAGCCTCCTGTCACGCTCGGAATTCTCTATCCGGATGTATTGACGCAGGCACTGCCGTTCTTGTACAAGCTCAAGGGTGTCCGAAGTAAGGTATGGCTGTTGAGGCACGGCTTCCGAGTCAACCATAATCTCATTGGAGGCTGTACGCAAGGCGGGCACAAGCTCCGCAAAGTGCGAATCAACATCCGCATGCCATCCAGTACGAGGCGCTGACTGAAGTGCAACGGCGAAGGCAGAACGTTGCACCGCACTGAGCCCAACAGAGGGACGATGGGCAATACGCTTGGCCTTAACATAACTACCTTGTCCGAGCTCCTTCCAAAAAGTCACCTCCAGGACAACAGGGAGGTGATCAAGACGAGCCTGGAGGGCCTCAAAATCTAGCCAAACATGGCTGCACTGCTGAAAGCTCATCCAATTGTCCGGCACCCCGATGTAGTCTAGTCGGTGTCGAGTGGGGTCGTCCCCAGGGGCAGCCCAAGTCCAGGACTGGCCGATGTGGACATGGGAAAAGGTAGAAGGAAGGGCACACCCAACATCAAGCAAGAAGCCGTGAAAGAAACCACCCGCAACAGATTCCGGCTCAGGGTGATGAGGGCCAACAGCTGAGGTGCTAACAGAGCCAAGTCGGCTATTGGCGTCGACCAACAGGATAATTTCCGATCCCTCCGGCCGCCGTGCAAGATCGTCACGTCGATCTCGCCAGAAAGTATCTGCCTGTACTTCGTGGCGAACAGCGCTAGGACCATGGGCAACTAGCACAGTGAGCTGGATCCATGGAGTACATATCTGCACCTGAAGATGGCGGGGAGAAAAGCTAGAAACAACAATTTGGTCTGTGGTGACTTTGCAAGGTTTGCCCTGCGCGCGGGCAAAGGGCTGATCCAGGCGGATCCAGAGCGAGCAACCATAGCTGCCCTCAGGGGTAGCCGCCGAGCTGATCATATGGAAATCTCTATCTGGCAACACACCTGTCTCAGGAAGCCTGGTTTCTTGAAGGCCAAGGAGCCAAACATTGGCCTGCAGAAGCTGACGCTTGAGGAGATCTCTTTTGCCGCAGATCATGAGCCCAGCATGCGAATTACGCGCGGCACGGCCCTTGGTGGCGTCTGGGTCAAAAAGAGTAAGGACGTTGTAGCTCGCAACCTTGAAAGAGAAGGTAACGCCGGTACTAGGGTACGGGACCCGGTGCAGCCCCATACTGGGGGGGTGGACGTTCCCTGGCGTGATGTTCTGCATCCGATGTGCCTCCGCTTCAAGGGCCGGAAGCCAAGGAAGCGTCGGTACACTGACGTGTGCAAGCCACGCCCATGCTCTTAGGGCATGCTTGTATAGTTGTCCTGGCCAGGACGGCAAGCATCGCTCGTATATTTCAACATGGGTAGCTCTAGCAAGCTTTGCTAGTTTGTCGACTAGCTCATTTTCAAGAATACCGGTGTGGGCGGATATGTGCCGATGACCAACCTGAGTCCGCGACTCAAGGCAACTGCGCAGCTGACACACAAACCCAGAGAGGTCATTTTCGCCGGCCTCAGTGGGGCGGGCGGGCTTCTGGAGACCAAAAGCCCCGAGGCCTGCTGCCGTGGAATCATAGCAAAACACGATGGGGACACGATATAGGCTGCCGTACTCAACGGCCCAGACCAGGGCCCATGCTAAAGCAAGTAGCTCACTGGTGAGAGACGAATCATCGGCTTCTCCAACAAAGAAGGGCGTATCTGGCGGCACAGCCGTGTACGCGGCACATCCCAAAAGAAACTTGCCGGCAACAGTGATTACCCATACCGAAAAGGCCCAGGCACATGGCTTGCCGTGAGTGGGCTCAGCAGCAGGCCCAAGCAACGGAACAGGGTGTCCATTATCAGCGGACCCATCAGTAAAGATCTCTAAGCGCAGAATGTCAGACGGGGCACCAGCAGAGTGCCACGATCTGATGTCCGAAAAGAGCTTGTGCCATCGGCTTGCATGTCGCACTTCAGCCAACAGTGAGGTTAGATCGGCATCAAGCCAATCAAGACCACTAGCGTCCGGTGCCGGCCGCGGCACGATAGCGCACAGATCTAAAGCAGCTTGCTGAAAAGACGTGGCCGGTATGGCCTCACAGAGGGTGATAGGCGTAACCTGACAGCTGGGAGGAACACCCGGTGCGCTGACAAGAGCAGCGTTCGCATCGCATGCAGCTCCAAAAGCGGCGTTGCCCGTGGGGGGACCACCAACGACCGGTCGAAAGTGCTCGGTCAGTGTTTCGACTAACGTGGCTGCAAGGAAGGCCCATTCATCAGATCGTGCTACACTCTCCTCGAGGAGTGTTTGCAGAGGTTCGAAGAACAAATCAACATCAACTTCCTCTGGTATACCAAAGTCATCGGAGTAGGACGCTTCGCTTGTAAGGTCATAGAAGATAGGCTGAGGGATGGTCGTCCGGCACGGAGTGGGAAGAGGACGGTCACTGACATGACAGGGCACAAAAATCGGGCCTGTGTGGCAGACAGGATCCGAGGTAACAGCCTCAGCGAGGGTGCCCAAGTTAATCAAGCACAGAAGAAGAAGAACAGCAAACCTGTGCCTTCCAATGTGCCGCCCGTGTCCCAGGGCGGACGCTCCTAGACCGACGAGGAACCAACTCCCAACTAACCCACCTTGTCGCACGGCAAGTCCAAGGGAGGAGAGCAACAGGCAGTATACCCATAGCCAGTCCAAAGAAGCAACAGCTCCGAAACAAAGGTGCGCAGCCCCAAAAACAGCGTCCCGGCTAGGACAAGTGCAAAGTGCGGCTGGGAGCTGAACACCACGTGTATCATGCCCAACAACATCATGACCTGAGGAGGTGTCGGGAGTACCGGAGGCATTGGGCGCTGGACCCTCACAGTTTCTAGTCCCGAAGGTTCCACGGGCACCATCAGATAGAACACTATCATAAACAGCTGTACTGTTGGTTCGGGGACCGCCGGCGCGATCGTCGGAACCAAAGGCAGGAGCGCGAGCTCCGTATACAGGAACTCCTGTGGGGAGAGTACTTGGCACGAGCCGTAAAACCAAGACTTGACCGCTCCAGACGCGGGCCCAGTTGCGATGTTCGCCGTGCGCACCGACATGTATGCTCCATCCTGAAGGAAGCACAGAAGCGAAACCGCGGCGTAATCGAGTCAAGTCAAGCCATCCATCTTCTGCAGAAACACGACGCCAACCCCACAGTAGTGGGCGGCAATCTAACAGACAAACAACCGGTGAGCGTCCATTGCCCAATCTGGCTTTCCCGACTGCAACTACGGCACGGCTGGACCTGCCAAAACATGCAGCATCAGTCTGTTTGGGATCAGAGGGAGTAATGACGACATCAGAGGTGTCATAACGAAGTAGTGCTGCAAGATCCTGACGATAATGAACCGATCTCTCAGGATAGAGCAAGAAGTTGCAGACTTGATCATCGGTGACAATGCAGTAGCAGGGAGGATGCTCTTCAAGCGGGAACGGCTGTCCGGAATTCCAAGACAGGTGCGAGTTCAGCATATCCTGCAGGGCAACGCCGGCTTGTATATCTGCATGTGCCGGAACAAACCGGAAACAGTGGCCAGTCTGCGGCCAGAAATCATCTTCGAGACGCATAGGCCGGACTGCCTCAGGTGCATAGAGAAGAACAGGCTCAAAGGTAGAAATGCCAGCCGCGGCAAAGAGATAACTCTTGGAGCAGCGTTTGGGTACCCAAACCGCAAAGACCCGGCCATCAATAGCGGTTAGGTCAAGACAAACAGCGGCGGCACCAGTCAACCAAAGTGGACTCTGAACAAGTACAGCCCATTGTGGATCTGGCTGCGGGGCAGCTGGGGCCAAGGAAGGGAAAAGCCCTTTCCGTGCTTGGTCGCGGCAGGTATCGACAACCTCGAGTACCTCTTCAACACTTTGTGGCACCAAAATCTGGAGTGTAAGGACCTCCGGGGCATAATCAGGTGCAAGCAGGACAAAGACAGCAGTTGTGACAACAGGGGTGTCATCGGAGTCTGTCGACGTTGAGTCGTCTCGTATCCGAGCTTGGTCTGAAGTAAGCATTAAGGGCGGAGCATACCACCGAAGCCGAAGACACGCTCGGTTGAAACCCTCAAGTCGGCTGACAAGGTCCCAAACCAAAGCAAGGACGTGATCGCTTTCACCTGAGTCTGCACAGAGAATGTCAAGAACCTCGGTGGGCAACTGGCCTTGGCGCAACAGGCTGACAAGGCAGCTGTGACATCTCTCTGGGCTCCAGTTGTTGTCGAATCGGCGGAGATCAGGGGTGTCCAGCTGGCTGCTCTGAGCAAGAGCGGCATGTAACATACCAGCTACACACATGACTACTCGACGCCTTTCCGAAAGACAACTTAAAGTGTGTCTAAAGTACACACAGGGTGCGTGGCAGATTGTAAGGCCGGACGCTGTAACGAAATCGCTCCCAGTATCACCCCTAGGAGAACGACTCCTATCACTACATCCGGATCTAGGCTCCTCGCTGGGAGGATCTTCCGCGTCATGCATATCTTCATCGGACCCAAGATCTGCATCGCGATCCTGGTCGGGACTAGAGGGAGGGTGTCCCTCAGATTCCTCAGAACCACACATGTCTTCACAGTATTCAACTGTGAGAACAAGGCCATCTCGTAACACAAACACAGCCTCGTTGTCATGATGTGCAACATCGGCACCACGGACTGAGACAAGGTGCCCATCCGGACAGTCTGCTGTGTAACCGTCTACGAGGGTCTGTACGGAAATCCAGGGATGGTCAACAATAGTCCAATGGATACCCTTTAACACCCTACGGGAATCGAGGACTAATATCAACCTCTTATCAAGAAACCGTGCAGGAGGACAAGGCAGTCGGCTGATCTGCTCCGTTGCAACGACTACCCCTGAAACGAGGTGTCCGCGGTAGAATCCATCCTGGATTCTAGGAACGGTAGGCCGTAGGGTGATGCGATGTCCCTGTGTGCCAAGCTGTGCAGCGAGGCCAGCACGAAAGGCAGATCGGTTGCCAGGACGCATCTCAAATAGGTCCGGCATAGCATCAGTCAGGATCCAAAAGTACTGTCCGGGAATTGCTCCAGGTCCGGGAATATCGACAGTGTGATCCCAACCCTCGGCAGACGACAACCGGACCGCCAAATCATGTACGGCCGGAACACCGCAAGTAGGCGCTGTGAATGTGATAAGCATGCCGGTGACAAGCGTAATGCGTTGCTGGCGCTGCAGGGGTTGGACAAGCCCATGCACATACACCTCAAAGACGCTATCACCCGGGAACCCGGCAGCAAGTAACAGGGATTCGCGGCTAAGGCACGCAGGGAGAGCTTTTGCATACACCGCTTCATCAATGCGATGGCTGTCAATGAAGACGATGACCTGTTCCGTAAGCCAATGAGGGACCGCAACCGCAACGATGAACTCAAGAAAAGGTTGTGGCGACACAGGTACAACCCGAGGAAAGTGCAGTTCATTATCTGTTGAGCGAGCTGCAACAAGAGCTGCGACGGCGGTATCAATGCTGCATGGCAGGAACACGGAAAAGGTAAATGACTCTGGGGCAAAGTCAGGAATATACACGTACACTTGCAGGGTGGTGGTGTCGTGTACAGCTTCAGCAATCCCGGTTGTCGGGACAGGGATGGCAGCAGGGCCTGGAAGTCCAGGCGGGGGCTCGAGAAAGGGCGCAATTTGCTCGAGGATGTGTGCAGTGTCTCCCTCGGCTCTGGCTGCGTCAATATGCCTCGTATGAGCTATACCAGCGAGTCGGTCCGTAGGGCTCCCCGCTGCTGTCGCCCCGGTCGTGCCAGTGTCCATGGACACTGTCGGCATGACAAAGGAAGGGCCACCAGTGGTGGCAGCATTCCAACTGTGGCCCGCAGGAATGCTAGAGTCAATATCGCGACCCGTATCAACGGGTGAAGAGCGTAGGTCTGTCGCAAGGGCATTCGCTGACGGTGAGGTGGTGCCAGAGGCTTCATCTGAGGAAGCCGCTTCTGTGTGAAAAAGCAAGGTGGTGCTATTTTTGACACTTACATAGTCACCTCTGTACCGACCTCCATGGATCCCTAGCCTTCGATCAGCAGGCAGGTCGACTCCGTGATTGGAGAGCAGGCTGGGTACATGGATCTTGGTAGTATGCACGTGAATAAAGCTGGGCTTGACTCCGAGCGGGCGAAAATCACAGAGAACAAAGAAATCCTGCCTTGCTCTTGATGCTGCGGTATCATCGATCGGAGAGACGTCAACAGCTGCAATGACTTTAGTGCAATGGCTGCCTTGAACATCGAGGTCAGGGGTATGAAAAGTACATGCGAGGAGACGACGAATGTCCAGACGACATCTCTGCACCACATGTTCGATTATTGTTTGTCCATAGTGATGGTGCGGCTGAATGCAGTACCGAGTGAGTCCATGAATGAAACAAACACTCTGGTGACGCTCCACTTCGAAGAAGTGATGCAAAGGGCCCCACTGGGATCTGTCACTGAGTGTCTCAGCTCTGTGTACAGAGAGGGAAGGGTCAGGAACCCGAACTGCCCTAATGACATCACCGTCGTTGAGCAGAACAGGCTCATGCTCAAGCCAAGGCGTGTCTCCGAAACCGACGTAAAGGTATAGCCACTCATCAAGTTCCAACGCTGTCAGTGGTCTGATGAACTCGGCAAGGTCAGCAAATGTGATGCTCCTCGGAAGAACAGTGCTGAAATAATGACCCCCTACTAAAGATAAGTCGAGGACAGCTGCAGCAAATCCGTCCTTGACGTGCCTGATCAACCTGGGGAACCGGACGACGGAAAGATATCCCGGAAAGCGTTGTGGGCGCAAGGGAACAATACAATCCATCACTCCTTGTGGTGTGCCAGGGGCGTAGGCCAAAACACGCTCACAAATCTCATGCATATCAGCATCAGTCGGCACGTGAACAGAGACAGCGACCGGCGTGTAATGCGGCGTGTACACATATACACCGAGTTTGCCTCCAGTATCATCACGGGTAACTTCCTCAACCGACCAGCTTTGCTGACATGTCCGAAGAATTTCTGAAGCACGCCTATCAAGGTCAGTATTATGCCAGGGAACTTCAGGAAAGGTGTCGCCGACATAGGCAGTAAGCGCTTCAGGACTCAACTCATGTGGACGATGACCCGGGCCGGTGTGTCTGGCGGCATCTTCTCCTGTCATGGCATGAGCCGTAGGGAAACTGAGAACCCAAGTGGAGGCGGTAAGGTAAGGTGTCATAGTGGTAATTATGTAGGCTTCTATGTTAAGTCCTGCCCTAAACCCCCAACCATCCCCGAGTGTGAAAAAAGGAGCCTCGAGCATTTAAAGTGGTTGGAACATGATGATGCTGATGTCCTCAAGGTAGAGCATCGGAAATCCCAAAACCCTAGGGCTTAGGGTTTAGGGTATCATCCTAAATCCATGTTCCAAGTTTCTGGAGTTCAGTCCCTAAACCCTAAACCCCAAACCCTAAACCCTAAACCCTAAACCCTAAAAAGGTCCCGGGCCCCGCACCGCTCTTCGGTCTGGCTTCCGTCTGTGTAGCAGACCTGGAACAGAGCCGACGACTGCCGTCGACACGACTCTGGTGCTGTAAAGGATCAACTTTAAACCCTAAACCCTAAACCCTAAACCCTACACCCTAAACCCTAAACCCCTAAACCCCTAAACCCTAAACCGCTCTCTAAGACTTCAGGAAGGGCTTGATGAAGGTCTTACGGTAATACGGCTTAGGGTTGTTTGGGGTTTAGGGTTTAGGGTTGTTTCGGACTGAGGGTTCTGGGGGTTTAGGGTTTAGGGTTTAGGGTTTAAAGGGTTTAGGGTTTCTTAAGTAGCTTTAACCTTTGGGGCTTGGGAGATGGTGCTTTAACAAACAAGATGACACGATTGGGGTGGAAGGCTTGGGGATGTTCAGCAGTTTTACTAAACCCTAAACCCTAAAACCTAAACCCTAAACCGTTTTTAAGGGCTCGATGTTCAAGATTTGGGCTCTCTCGGGTCTGTCAAGCTGTGCAGCGCGCTGGAATTCACGAAGACTACAAACCTGCTACATCCAGACTGCCTGAACCCGTCACTTCCACACAGGAGCCTAAAGATTTAGCAAGGCACTTCTTCTACATCCCAACATTCGGGTTCAGGGCATGTCATTGTCATATGCTTGAACACACGAAACCTGCTCTGACCCTAGTTCCCAAGCTTTTAAACCATGAACCCTAACTGTTACCTAACTTGGTTGTGAATATTCACTAGTCCTCTGCGTTAGGCTTCCTTGACATAATGGTAGTACAATGTACCCAGCCGCTTCTTTGAGAATGTTCAGGCGCTACACCCTAAACCCTAAAGCCCGTTGGCGTGCCTGCTCTTAGCCTTTGCCTCGGGCTTCCGCCAGGAAGGCGAAGTTCTGCGAGGGGCAAGGAAAGCAAGGCGGGGGATTTTGGCTTCCGGGGTTTAGGGCGTAGAGGCTTTGGGGTTTTGAGATTTTGCAAAGCCGTAAACCCTAAACCCTAAACCGTAAACCCTAAACCCTAAACCGCAAACCCTAAACCCTAAACTGTAAACCCTAAAGCCTAGAACGTAGGCCCTAAACCCCAAACCCTAAACCCCAAGCCCTAAGCCCTAAACCCTTTTAGG